GTCTGGCTGCTCCAAACGTTCCTCATCAGTCAACAACAGGAGATTCTGATGAATCTTATTATCTAGATCCTGTTGTACCAGAAAATGTGTTAAATGCACCAAACGATGATCAGAATTTTAATATAATTTTGATAGATGTTAATTCGAACAAACTGAGAATAGCGTGCTAAACACTAGTGAACGAACTTAGAAAGCATTCTATAGCCAAGAGCAAAAAACTGTTGGAAGTCCGAACAATGATAATACACGTCGAACTCAGTGGAACCAGATTAGTTTAGCACTTCGACAAAAAAACAAAAAAATGTGAAAGCTACCTAACGCCTGAAGATAAAAACAAAAATATCATCCAAGTCATTCTAGCTCGTCACAAAAATATTGGATATTGAATCTGCTAGTGACTAAACCAAGTGTTGCGTTGTATGTATTACCTCGTGTGAGGTGGGATCAGAGTGTTTTTTTTTTGTGTAAGGTCACACATTTACGTCTAGTTTATGAACTTTTGGTCAAGATTCATGCAAAAATATGCGTCATTATGATTTAAGTTGCCTTCGGCACTTTTATGATCTCATTAGCAATAAGCTTCCTTGGATTTTTTTCGTGGTTAATTAGACTGTCATCCTCAGTTCAGACAGGCCTCCGATTCTGTGATAATTTCAGTTATTTCAATGAGGGGTTGTAACTTTTCATTGATGTAACGAATTCGAAATTCATGCCGGCACCTGTATTTTGGAATCTGAAGCTGTCTTATTCTCGCACTGTTGTTAATCGCTTTCATCATAGGGTTTAGGCACATCTTGTGTACTTATTCGGACACTTTCAATATATTTGTCACGAGCTTGTATAAATCGATTGATTCCTTTGCGCTCGTTTATTGTTTCTATGCGGTTCCAGCTATTTGGTAATGTCCAATAGTTAATAGTCTGGCCACTCGACTGCAGTAATCCCAATCAGTTTGGTAGAAATTTGTGGACTTGTATGTTTTGTAGTTTGTGTGTGTTTGTCACAGGGGTCGTAGAGCTTCTGTATATCAACAGCTATCATATTGCCTGGTAGGTTTGTTAGTTGCAATGTAAAAATAATAAAGTGATAATTTGAGTCATAAGAGAAGACTATTGTTATAAGAGCAAATAAGTAAGTCATTTAATTTGTGTTTCAGGCGGTGTGAGACGTGAGGGGGAAAATGAGAGAAATGCAAATAAGAGAGATAGGAAGTATTACTGATATTCAGTAATAATAGTCGTGTTAAATTATAAAACATTCATAGACACAGCTGATTCAAGAGAGTGATGCCAACTCATAGGTCAGTTTGTGTTTGTCAAGTATCCTCTGGAAGTTATCCACTTAGGGGGCTGTATTTACTTCGCTCAGGGGAGCATTTTAATCGGGAACAACTCTTAATGAGTAAATGTGAGAGCGTACCTGCGTGTTTTCTCGATTTTCAATCTTTCTAGGGTTATTTTGAGGAGGGTAGTGTCAATGTTCGTGTAGATTCCGTGTTAAGCTAACTTAGCGTATCTAATAAATTGTATACCATTACCAAACCACCTTTTATTCCCTTAAACTTCAGTAAGTATTCCCAAATGTTTGAATATCCTGGTTTTTAAGCAGATTGCCTAAAGTATGTCGGCCAGTTTCGTGCAAACTGACCCCTAGGTTTTTTTCTTGCATAGCGTGTCTCATTAGCTTGATCATGGTCTTTGAGTCTTGTACTGCTGGTTGTTATTTAAGTTAACCGACACTAAGGTGTGTTCTCTCTGGCTTTCCCGATGTTGTCTAACGAGGCAAATAATTCCTAAAGCATCACAAATCATCAGGCCCAGTTGACTTACCTGCTGCCCTTGTTAAAGATAGTGGCGACCTAATTAAGGAATTGAGTGGGTTGTTTACGAAGGTCTGAGAACTAGAGAGGGTTCCAATATCATGGAATTAGCCGATAGTTGTCATTTCTGAACTAACTACCGTGGGTTAAGTCTACTTCCGGTCGCGTCCAGATTATTGGCTTCCATCATACTTCGTAGATTGTTCGAAACCTGAGAAATATTAACTCTTGAGGAGCAGGTTGTTTTTCTTTCTGATTGAGGATGTTTTGATCATATATTCACCTTCCATCAAATGTTAGAACGCTGTCATACTTATTACACATAAACAAACCTAATGTTTTTTGACATTAGGGCGGCCTTGGATTCGTTAGACAGGATTGTTCTTTGGGATTGTCTATTGATGGTGTGCCTGAGAAGTTGATTAACATTTTTAAAGCCATATATACTGACACCTCATACAGAGTAAGGGCATACAACCACCTCTTTTCAAATTTCTCATCAAGGACATTCTGGAAACAACTCTGATGGAAGTAGTTAATAGTGGTGTGGATCTGTTACCCGAAGAAGGCTTCGACCTTGAGTATGCGGACTATATTGTCTTACTGTGTGGTGATACCCAAGCCATACAGTTCGCACTTAATCAGTTGGTAGTCAGTGTCCGTGGGTGTGGCATATGCTTTGTACCTTCCAAGTGCAAAGTACTTCTACAAGACTAAGCTTACAGTCACCTTAGATAATGAGCAGGCAAAAGCAGTCGAGAAGTTCGTATATCTGGGTAGCTTGCGTAAGTGCTGTTGATGGCATTAGTGATGAGATCCATTGATGTATAGTTAAACCCAGAATAGCTTATGCGAATCTGGGCCATCCTTTGCGCCTTCGTGATATTACTCTGGTTGTAGAAAATCGGATCTACAACGCGTCAGTGACAGCAGTTTTATTCTATGCTTGTCAGACCTGGCCTCCGAGTTGAGGATGTGAGATGACTCTGTGTTTGACCATCGTTGTCTCCGAAGGATTGCTAACACCCGGTGGCAAAACCATGTTAACAGTGCAGAAGTTCGGCATCGTGTGTTCGGGCACAGAGACGATAATCCAATTGGTGTCACCACCTTGAAACATCGGCTACGATGGTTTAGTCATGTCCTACGAATGTCGTCCTAGAGGATCCCACGCCGTGCATTATTTTCTGACTCTGCAACCTATTGGGAAAAGCGAAAAGGTGGTCAGTGTATGACATGGTGTCGTGGTATGAGAGAAATCTGTACAGGACTGGCTCCTCTCAGTCCTTCACGACTCCCTGGTTGGGGTCCTAGAGATGATGCAACAGTGATTAGAGACGTTATTTGACATGGTTTAAAATAGAAACCAGTGACAATCCTATTGTAACTCCCTTTTACTTTCTTCGTTAAAGTAAACGTAACTTCTTCAATTAGGATTCTGGTTGTATTTTTCCCAACTGAGCTATTTCTCCCATAGTAATAATAATTATTCACTCATACACTATTTTCTGTTCGTTGTTGTTTTTCTTTTTGTTATACGTACTGTACATTCTCTATCTTCTCACAGCCTCATTGCTACTGTGTGGCGCATATGTATTAGGTTCCCCGTTATTCCAATGTCCATGTGTCCAAATGAAATAAAAAAAATAGAAGTAGGGACATGGGTAAAAGTGTGATCTTGATTAGTTAGTTGGAGATTTAGTTTTGGTGATGAATTGAGTGATCCATGTTGTACACAATACTCTGACGTTCATTGTCTGGTGTTGTCTTGAGCTTTCTTAAAATCCTGTTCGTAGAAACAAGGATTTTTGACTTATCAAACTGTTGATTAAGACCTTTTTCTCTTCTAGTAGTGCTTGGAGTTTTAGTATACATACTGTTGCAACACTGGCAGAGAAATTCGATTCAGGGCCTCTCCGCAGAAATATTGAGTAGTAGGGGTAACATAACTAACTTGAGCGGTTGGCAGAGATCGGACTAACCCACCACTCTTTCGTAAACCGAATTAAACGGAATTCCATTTGTTGGGGCTCCTAAAAATTTTGCGGGTTTCCCTATGTTTATGTATGTGAATTGCGTGGGTTTTGGCTTGTGGGGTATATATATGTGGGTATGTACAGAGCGTACACGTGTGGTTTAGCAAAGCGGACGTAAGCTGAAATGTCTGCCCTATTTCTTATAAAATCTCTGGCCTAATCCTTTAGGTCGAAGACATAATAAAAAGAGATGGCAGCAAATACTAGGGAGAGGTGACCATTAATGTTCCTTGAAAGAGTGCTTATGCCTATAGGTATGTCATGAAGTGTAGGGTCGAAAGCCTTTTACCAGCGATATGCACGTAATGTGTAAGTTACCGTTACTCGTATTAAATGTTTCTAAAGGAGTGGTAACCATCTACCCTTCCAGGTGGGTAGATATACTTACATGTATGCTATGTGATGGATGAGTGAAAACTTGTATGTTACCGGTGTAGATGTAGATTATACTTACCTCTGGTGAGACATCTGCGTGCCTAGACCTAAGGGTGGGTTTATAAACCTTAGGAAACGGAAACCGTTTCTAGAAAACCAGTCGGGTTCACCGGCTAAGGCTTGACCAACCTTGACACCGTACTGTGCATATTACTAATTAGACTAAAGGTAAAATATAGGACAGTTTAAAGAGGAAGCGCACAAGACGAAATTTTTGAAACAGACAAATAATGTACGTAAGTGAGTATATGTCACACAAGAATAGAACCTAAGATATACCAAAAATTGCAACGTTACCTTTGACCATCCTAGCAAGCGACTTCGCGTGTATTTAGTAATTTATTCATAAGTCCCGCATTTGAAAGTTAATGGATTTGTGTATGTTGCATTTGAAGCAACTAGTAAGAGAACAGTTGGTCGAGACATTTTCTCCCGTCATTCTGCTTACCAGCTTTCTGCCCTCACTCCGCTTTGCACGTTCTCCCAAAAGTTAAAATACCTAAGTGGAAATAGCTATTATTAAACGGTTTGCCAATGTACAAGTTCTCAGTGATAACTGTCAATTACCCCTACTCCTCAACTAGTAACGTTTGAGTTCACAGAACTTATATTGGTTTTCATAATTTCCTATTCTAGTATTCAATCCTACTTGTTATATCGAAATTGCTTTACAGGGTTAACAATAAAGTCGCTTCGTCAGTCAAACTGGTATGGCTGTAATCTCAGATATAAGGTATGTATGAATTTGAATTACTATTGTTTTAGAAAGCCAAAGACACATAAAGGGAAAAGAGTCTTAGAGCGAAGAGCTCCTAAATTAGTAGAGAATGATAAATGCACCCTTGTCATAAAGGGTGGTCATACAAGTGACGTTGTTAATACGTTTCTCAATGATTTAGTGAGTCGTATGTATTTGTCTTTTTATTATTAGTGCGCTTTGAAAAAACCACTTGTTTATCGTTTAAAGTGGAAAAATAGAGTCCTCCCCTTCGAAGATTTATCATTTATTGTAAGTTTCTTTCATAACTGTTCTATTTTGAAGGAGAAAATGTGTAATAAGTTCGACTGTTCAATGTTTGTCGTTGGGATGCATTCCAAGAAAAGACCGCATAACATTATTTTTGGAAGGCTGCATGATGGTGAGCTACTAGATATGTTTGAACTTGGCATAAAAATGTACAAACCGATATCGGATTGTAAAGTAACTTACAGACTAGTAATACTAACTCCTCTTAAGGACAAAACTCTCATATATGGAGCTAAGCCCATGTTATTATTTTCTGGAGAGTTGTTCAACTTAGACACAAAACATATGACTTTAAAATCTTTGTTAGTAGGTACGTTGGTCGTTCTGTGTTCGGATTTTCTTAGATCTTTTCAAGGGCCCAACAGTTGAGAAGATAAGAACATTAGGTGTTGAACACCAGTTCCACTTTGTTTTGTCGTCAGACAAGAATTTGTGTCTTCGCGTCCGGAAAATTACCCTGTCAACAAAAGGCAAAATAAACTCAACTGAACTCAATGTTCCACCTCTAAAGTCTCCAGATGGTAAAGTAGTTCAGATTACACTTGAAGATGCTACCCCAAGTGCTGACTTTGATCTACGACGAGTATCTTTGCCGTCCGAGGTAAGTAACAAAACCCTCACATTTGATTCACTTTATATTGATTAATTGCTTAGTAGTGACGAAAGTCACATTTGTCTAGTTCTTAGTGTTGATTGAGTTCTGTCGACTGAGTTATAATTAGTTACTAGTCGAAGTGGTTTGACATCTTGTCTGCTATGTTCTAGTAATTGTAATCTCCTTCCAACTCTACATTTAAGACACTTTTTGTTATTCTGTCTGCTTCATCCGATTTCTTCACTTAAATTAAAATCATCGTATATTTTTATTCCTCGAATTGACATATTCTCAAATTAAACTATCTATACATACTGTCTAAACTATCATTACTTTGGAGAATTTGATGATAAAACGAAGGTTATCGGGATTATGTACTTAGTTTGCGCAATGCATTTCGAACAATCTGATCATACATATACTTGTTAAAACAAAAAATTGAGGGTTAACTAGACAAATTAAAAGGTAAGGTGAAGCAAGGATACTAACAAAATACAGGATGGGAAAGCCAAACTGAATAACAAATCAGTAATAACAGGGTAGATTTATGCTAAGAACCAATTATCTTTGTGCAGGTAAAGGGGGAAGTTTCACTACTTCATCAATTGATTTGCCATCCTTACCTAGTACCCGTTTCCTAACAATGGCGTTACTTACTCGGTGGTTATGCGAGCAATGCTTCGAAGACACCTATGATCGAATGCTAGTAACCTACGACTATCCTCTACTTTTACCGGCCATGTTTCACAGTCATAAAGTAAAACGGAACGAACTGCTGCGCAGTAAACCGGTCCTTTGGTTGGTAGACGGATACCTCGCCCATGTCACAGATGACGCAAGTCGGCAAAAGCTAGTCGAGCCTTCTGTATCCGTGCTGAGATTTCGTCACACACCAGACCACAAGGGCTGATGAGACTTCTGAGATAAGTGAAGCGGTCGACACGCTCAACTACTTCACTCCCTATCATTTGTTGGGGTGTCGGTGCAACCCAATCCTGAAGAAACATTTTGCATTTCGAGGGGGAGAATCGCATGCCGAACATAGTTGGATTGTTGCTTATAGTGGTCAGAAGACTCTGCATTTTATCAGCATCTTCACCAAATAAAACTATGTCAACAAGTGAATCTCCCGGTAAAAGTTCAACTCCTGGAAATTTAGATGAAGAAAATGTTGTCTCTGAAAGCACGTGTCAACGACAGTCATACAAGAATAGAGAGAGTGGACAGTCCTGACGAACACTACTGGAGGTAATCAATTCTGATGACAGTTCGCCATAAGCTCTCACTCGACCTGTTGTGTTTGAGTAGAGAGCCTTTATAAGGTTAATGTACTTCTTTGGTACTCCTTTCAGTGACAAACTGCCATAGAACCTCACGATCAACAGAGTCAAATGCCGCCTTAAGGTCGAAAAATACTACTATTGTGAGGCGTCTAAATGTGTGTCTATGTTCTAGGGCCTGACCTGGTGTGAATATGTGGTCTATACAACCACGTCCAGCTGGAAAACCAGCCTGATTTTCTTTAGTCTGCTCTTCACGAGCTTTAGTTAGGCGTCGAAGTATTATTGAATCTAATATTTTAGACACTATAATTGTCAAACTGATTCCTCTGTGATTGTCACAAGAGGAATTTTGTCCTTTCTTGTAGACTGGCACAATCAGTGATTGAGACCAGTTAGATGGGATTACGTTTAGTTCCCAAATTCTGCCTAGGACCTCAGTCGATCTCACTGCTAATACTGGACCACCATCCATAAAAATCTCAGGAGTAAACCCGTCAGGGCCTGCTGCTCTTCCTCGTTTCAGGTTTCCTATAACTCACTCAACTTCATAAAGAGTCGGAGAACCTGCATTAGCTTGCCATTCTGGTCGACTGGAGATCGTGGAAAACTGAAGTGTGGCTGAAGGCCAGTTGAACTGATCCCTAAAGTGTTCTGCCCATCGATTCAATCTCCTGGATTGAGAATGTACAATATGTCCATCTTTCTCTGAGAGTGTTTTGCTAACAGTCGGTTTCCTTAACAAGTCTAAACAATTGTCTGCTATTACCTATTGCCGCTGCCTTTTTCATCTTTCTTGTTTTCGCTACCCACCACTATTTGCGATTATTGCGTAGGCTTCTTATCAGCCTGCGCTTAAGCTGACCCCGCTCTTCGTTATGTTCAGAGCCAGATGGAATGAGTTTCCGAGCATCTATCAGTGCGGTAGATGCTGCTGAGATCCAGTGTTGCTCCCTAACCTTACGGGTTACCATACTAGCAGATATCACTGTTGTTTCCGCAGCTTTTCGGATATTCCACGCTCCCTCAATGTGAGCATCACTTATAATGGCTGCCTAACTGTTTTTCTAGTTGTTCCTGAAATACATTCTTAGCTTGGCTATCATTAAGTAGGACCCTAGGAGGTTTCCTTGCAGCATCTTTCCTACGTCCAGTAAGACGCAGACAGATACGCGCTCGCACTAGAGCATGATCTGAATCTAAGCATGTGCTCCAGAATGAGCGACAGTTTTCAATCGAGCCTCTCCATCGGTGGTTGCTATGTCAGAAGATGTTTTTTCTTATCCTTAAAGATAGTATTTACAAGAAACAGACGGTCGCCATTATCTGTTCTTTGAGCCAGGACTATAAGATCCACCCAGGTGTCTTTCCCTATCGCTTAGTTTACCTACTTGAGCATTAAAGTCACCGGCCATTATTACTACATCCGAGCGCCTAGCTTTTCGGAGAAGGTCGGAGAGCTTTCTGTAAAACTCATCTTTTACATCATCTGTGCTGCAGTCAGTGGGAGAATAGGCAGAGACGACGAAGAGGCAACGACGAGTGTCACTATCTTTCCGAGTCCTCACTGTTCCGTTTAGTCGGACAGCGCACAAACGAAGGTCTACTGGGATCCAGTCTAAGAGAGCTAGTTTTGCCCTAGGACTCAATGCTATACCTGCGCCGGCGAGTCCACGAGAAGCAGCATCTGGGCTTCCGGATACACGAAACATCGATCGATATGGTTCTTTATTTTGACATAGTGAGGTCAAATGAATGACGCTACTCGGATCCTTTACGCGCGTTTCGGAGACGCAGCACATATCAATGGCGCGGGATTCTAAAGTATTAGCCAAGGAAGCCTGTTGTTTTATTTGGCACAGTGTTCGGACTTTGAGAGCTCCTACATGTAGTTTAGAGCGTGGTTTTAGGAGATCAAGAATAACGTTCCGCGTACTCGAATCGTTTGCCCTAGCGGTGCGAGGTGATAAAGGGACGTGAGAAGGGTTAGTCGCGGAAGAAAAGATAGTTATTAGGAGGTGTAGGAAGGATTTGAATGTGACCAACTTGTTCTCGTGTGCTGTCACGGGTATGAAAGCTGATATCACTTCCCGGCTGTCCATATCGTGGAAGGGTATTTCTTGAGGAACCTGAAATGGGAATTGGATTAGTGTTGGTCTCAAAGACCTGGGAACGTGACCGCAGAGCCCACAGGACAACTACTTGAGGCCGGTCTCGCACGGCCCTTTTGTTTTTTTAACGTGTTAGCTCCGTTCTTCAAAGGGCTTTACCGCCGGAGACGGAAATCCGTGAGGTAAGGTGAGGCGTGACATTTTTAGGGTCGACCTTTTCTAACCCCACCCCTCCTTGTGGGAAGGCAGCATCGCTGCAGATGCTGGTTGTCTGAGGGAAACACCTTACTGCTGTCACACCTCTCTACAGTCAGCAGTACGACTTCGCCCTCAGACCTTGAGTTGCTGCTTTGAGTCTTACCGTTCTCCAATCGACCTGCCTGGCATGGTAGAACCTACAGGAGCATATGTTCCAGCCAATATAGCTCGGTTTGGTCATCACGATAGGCAAGTCCGACCACCGCGTCAAGGTAGCAGAAATACAACTCAGCATAGTCTATTCTTGGTATTAAGTCTCACTTTATACACTAAGATCAAATAAGATGTCTATACTTAGGGTTATAACTGTGATATCAAACTCTTTATTGTGCATTAGTTAAGTAACGATAGTGGTATCAATACGTTTATCGTTAATGATTAAGAATATCATCAGGCTTATAATTTACTATTGTGTTTGATATCACATTGACAACAAAGCACAACAAAAGTTCATAGATATTTCATCACATGCTTTCAATGTATAATGTACACCTTTAGATCTTTAGGTCACACTATCTGAGAATGGAGGGTAGTTGTAGAGTAGCTAAAGGCCAGCTGAACTGTACTCTAAAATGTTCCGCCCATCGTTCTAAACGTCTGGACTAGGAGCAGATGAGAGTGTTTTCTTTTCCCGAGAGTCTCACGTACAATCGACTTAATAATTCCAGTTTCTTTTATTAGTCTGAAAAGCTGTCTGGCGTTACCTACAGTTTCTGCCTTTTCCATCTCTTTTGCTTTCGTTGCCCACCACTGCTCACGGTCGTTCCTTAGACTTTTGGTCAACCTATATCTGATTTGTTTTCGCTCTTTATCGTGTTCGGAGCCAGATGGGATAAGTTCACGATAATCTATCAGTGCTAAAGACTTAGTAGAAATCCATTGATTTTTCGTGACCTTTTGGTCCAAATCACTAATAGATGTCACTGCTGTTTCCACAGCTGTTTGCATAGCTTTCCAAGCAACATCTGGGTCAGCCTCGTTTTCAGAACTACCTAAGTGTGACCTCAGTTGTTCCTGGAACCTACTTTTGGTTTTCTCGTTACTCAACCCAGTTCTAACGGGTCTTTTTTGCGTCCAGTGAGGCGCAAGCAGATGCGTGCCCGTATTAGGGCGTGGTCGGAGTCCAAGCAGGTACTCCAGAATGAGCGACAATCATGTGCCGACCCTCTCCAACGATGACTGATGGCAATATGGTCTATTTGAGTTCATCGTTGGTTTGGTGCAGGGGGTCGCCATGTTAAACGATGTCTCTCCTTATGCTTAAAATTTGTGTTTGCTAAAAATAAACGATTGTCTGAGCACAGTTGCAGCAGACGATCACCATTATCTGTTCGCTGTGTCGGAATACTAAAATATCTACCTAAATGCCTTTCTGTTTGGTTTAAACTACCTACTTAGACATTAAAGTCACCTCCTACGAGTACTATGTCTGAGCGTTTAGCTTTTTGAAGAAGTTCGGACAGCTTTCTGTAAAAGTCATCTTTCACTTCATCCGAGCTGCAGTCAGTGACAGCGTAGGCAGAAACAACGTATGTCTCTATCCTCCCGAATTCTTATGGAGCCGTTCCGCTGAACAACACATACACGACTATTAACGGGGATCCATTCTAATGGTGCTTGTTCCGCCCTCATGCCTAGTGCTATGCCTATACTTGCTAGTCCACGAGAACTGGCCATCGGGTCACCAGATACGCGGAGGGTGTATCTCGTTGGCTCTCCGTTTTGCCGAGGTGAGGTTAAGTGAATGACCACACTGGAATCCTGTGTGTGTGTTTCGGAGACACAGCATACATCAATGGTAAGAGACTCTAGGGTTTTAGCCAAGGAAGCCTGCTGACATATGTTTCAGCCTATACAGCTCGGTTTGGTCATCATGATAGGCAAGCCCGACCATCACGTCATTGTAGCAGCTACGGTCGAGGTACTGACACAAACCAGCATCTTACCGTTTTTTTGTCAAACTTCGTTATTGTTTTTAAGGTGCATAGCACCATCATAGTTCTTCGTTCACATACTACTGTGCTATTTTATAACTTTAAAAGAGATATTATATCAAGTCAAATTTAGTTTTTAGAGCACTACTCCATATGATAGAATTATAATAAGATTGATATGACGGATGAATTAGAATATTTCCCTCTCTGCGATATACTGCCCTAGTACGATTATAAGACTGGATTGGATACTCGAACGATCCGCTCCACACAAACCAGATCACGTTATATCAGACACCTGATTCAAGACCAAAATAGAAAACCAGAGTAATACCAGACGATACTTAATCCGGCATAATTACAAGCAGTCGCCCTTAGTGAGCGAAGGAAATCACATACCTAATAGTAAGTAAGCTTGTCGAGAAATATAGGAGTTTTCAAACCTAACCTAGGTTTGCTATGGTTCATTTGAGCTACTGATTAATGTTGATGTCATCTATTATCATAAATAGGAAAATTTCCACACAGTCGTAACCGAAATATTACGGGCATTTGAATCTATAACAAATTCATAGTATTCGACTGGGTTGTGTGCATACGATGAACAAGTGATGAATCAGTATTGTGTTCAACTAAATATTTTGCAACTATTCTAGCTAAACGTTAAATTTTAAAATGCAACCAATATTCCAGATTATCATACCTTTCAAGGTCTAATGTCTTGTTTAATCATGAGGCCTTATTATTATAAAGTTTTCACACTGAATGTTCATACAGTACTCGATATTTTTGCATTAGGTAATGAATTCCCAACTCTCTTGGGAAAACATTTTAATAATTCCTTTATACAAATAGGTATTTATCTAGCAAAATTACCGAATATTATCTAAGAAATCCAATTCCCATTATGTTTTAACCACACATTATAATTCGACTTTTTACTGCTATTTATGCACCATGGCAATATAAATTATAATCTGATATTTTCTTATTTCGTCTCCTGATTATATACTGACTTTTATTGATTACTCGTTGCAGGACAAATGGAAACGAGCTCATCGTGTACCCCCTGAAGTTATGAAAGGTGACAAAACGCCTAAAAATAAATCTGTCGATGTTTTCGGTAGCCGAATAGGACGAGTTCATGTTGGCAAGTCTTCTGAACTAGAGAATTTACGACCTGGATCTACCATCCGAACTGCTCTGACCGGGCATCGAAAACGTGGTTTTGAACGAATAAAATCTGGTGTTAGCAAATCTAAAAAAACATCAGTTCCTAGTGACCTTAGCGTTAGCAAACGGCGTAAACTGTTTACTGATGCTTAACCAAATACACTTTTGCTCTCAAAAGAATAATGTTTCGTTTGATAATACTGTTTATAACGTAAACACCAAAACACTTTAAGCTGGCAAAACTTGAAGATGATAAGGGAGTAAAAAAGACGGGAGGCTTAGAACAGTAGCAATTAAAAGATGAGAGATTCCGCTGATTACCGTTCTAAATTATGGAGAGAGCGCTTGTAACTCATATTCTTGTATTTCACATAGAAATAACTATTAAGTGAATTTCGGCTGGCAAACCAAAAATTAAAACAGCTAAACTTTGGCAGTACTAAAAATGCTTCTCAGGTGTTAAAATAATGACAAGTTTTAGACTTGTGGCAAGGGTTAGGAATTAGATGCTTAATTAATTGAACCACTACAAACACACCTTTTACATAAGAGATCAGTAGTCTTCAGAAAGCATATTCGGATTAGGATTCCTCATTGGTTTAGTTGTCAGAAATAATGCCTCTCAAGATATTTAGCACTAAAATATAGAAGTTGAAGATTGCGAGATATAGACTCCGTCCCTTTGGAACGCTAGCCACCTGAATTTGTCTTAGACGCATTTCTGACATTAAATAACGAGTGCGCAACCTGTAGTTTTTACTGCTGACCATAAACACTTCAATATAGGTATAACTACTAGGGCTTATTTCTCCAACTTCACTAGTCGCAATCCAATCTTTCTATCTCTTACCTAAGTTTCAGTTTAATGGGGCAAATACATCGTATTGAATATCTGATTTCTCCGCATAGATTGCTGGTCATTTGGTTTAGAGCGAAACGTAGGGTCACAGAAGATTTTGGAATCTGTTCTTGTGTTGTAGTTCAACAGTAAGCAGCAAACAAGCAAAAAATTTAATTCAGAATATTGATAGCAGCACAAGAATAAAACCAGATACTTAGTAGGAAAAGGGTAAATAAAACTAAAGGGCACCGAAGCCAAAGATACGAAAACAGTCTGCCTTGCTGCGTGTAGTTTTGACTGCTTTGTCGCAGACTCCGATCAGGAAGTTGACACTAGATACTGCTTAACCACGGTCAACGACTTCACGGAATTATGCTGTCTTGTTCTGATTTCCTTCCTACCTCTTCCAAATCAGCTAGATGTCTGGGAATAAGCAGTGTCTTGGCACATACATGTCCCAACCACCCAAGTCGACTAACGTCACCAACTGATTCACCATTTCCATATGCCTTCAGCGCTGCTCAATTTGTGATCCCAGCACAAGCAAGCGTAACTTTGGCGGCATTTTTCGATAGGAAATTAACAACTTAGGTAATGACTGATACTTTCATAGGTCATGTTGCGCATCTGTAGAGTAACACAAAACAGACAACCTGGCTAGTACAATTATCCATGAAACGGGGGGGGTCATCTCAACAAAAATCAGCACAGTTATTCCGTTGATTATACGATGTTTTTTGATTTCTAAACGTATCCTCACGTGGTAATGACCCTGGAGTATTGTCACTGACAGAATATCAGGGGACGGATAAATTTATGATTCTTAATATATTTGAAATAATATAGGGGAACCATCCACATGTGAAATGGGGTTATTTGTTGAGATGTAGATGGTGGTTGGAGGTAGTCAACAGTCCTGTTGACATAGTGCCCGCAGTGTCGAGTCACCTAGACTGATGGCCACATTGCAACATGATCGATAGCATTCGATCTGCATTAATAAAGACTAGATAAGCATGACATTGATCACCATCCAGTGATCAATCAATTGTGGGGTTATATGTTTCTACTCATTAGAGCGTCTTATGTTATCGACAAGTCGAATACTACCAAATGATGACTAGCAAAAGAATACTGGGCGTCTAGGACAATTCAAATTTTATCTTCAAGAATAGAGGAACCTATCTTTCAACTTCTTGTACTGACCAATGATAAGACGTCAATGAAAACTACTGGCCTGCGTCCCGATGACACAACGGATTTATATGGACCATAGTCTGGGTCACAACTTATGAAGTAAATCATGTTGGTAAACCAATAAACGAACCTCCATAGACTAGGGAATCGTTTCTATTTTATGTAGTAGAAGTTAATTGTGGTCAAAGCACTGGTGTGCTAGAATTTTGTTGTAGGAGAGCCTCCAGAAGTTTAGGGATGACAAACTTGGTAATAACTGTTATCCAATCTAAGTATTTGTCAAAAACTAGCTGTCCTGTAATCATTACTCATATGTGAAACATAGTTGAAGTGTTCGCCTTCAAAATTTACTTTTATTTGGCATAGGCTCTGTGTAGCCTAGTGTATTTGATATAACTCAAGTGAATGTAAAGGATTATCAGAAACTCATTACACGTAGAATTGAGTTCTTACAATCTAAGATAAAAGGATCTTAAATTACTTACTGTGCAAAACCCAGCACTACATTTTGTAGTGCTATAAAGAAACTAAGGTTAAGGGTCATGAGGCTTCAGAGTGCAAAACGCAGTTATCGGAATTCCAAGTGGTATGATCCATTCACAGAATTAAAAGAACCACACATTTATGCTGTCCAATCAATGTCATATTTACCCGATCATCATGACTCCAGCTTCCATATGTAATCCTAAGTCCAAGCTTACTTTCACAGCTAAATCAGAGATCTACTTGCATCACACCCGCTTAGAGCTCGTTTTGCTGACAGACAGATAGGAAAATGCACAACCTAGTTGCGTAAAACGAATATAAGTAAGTCGTAGTGTATTCTTTAGTCAAGGAAAACGCAGTGGAGCATGCATTTAAGCAAGCCAAAACTATCAACTGTCAGAAATATTCCATCGGCATCATTCCGAGACTACACTGAAACTCATCTACAACTGTCAACAAGCACATAAACTACAGCTCCCCTATTAAAAAACACAGCTGAGTCCTTTTATTATTTTCAAATTAGAGTCTAATGTACGTTCGCTTATACTGATCATTCTACATTTATAAATAGAGGAAGCACAAAAGCTATTCCGAAACTGAACATATTGTTAATCAGACTTATAAACATTTTTGCTAGGTTTTATATTGTCCATGACTGACCAAAAATTGCCTTCTGCGAAATGCTATTTTGAGTACGAAAACAAAATATTCCATGCTTCAAACCAAGCCTTTGAAAAATAGCGCGTGGATGTTCAAACCATTAAAATATATTGTTTATTAGTATAGAGTTGTGGAGATGGTTGAGTTTTAATTGAGATCATGAACCGATCAAAGTTAGACCACCAATGAAAACTTGGAAGCACTGGACTACCGTTTCGTCCTAGTAAGAGACTCATCAGAAGTGCTTTCAGGTTTTCAATCGTGGTCTAGCACTGATCGGTTCATGATCACAATTATATCGTTTAGCACCCGAAACTTAGTTTCATCAAGCATGGAAGAAAATTCACATTATATAATATACAAGTAAACCAAAAGGGTTTTTATTACATGATCGACAATTCAGAAAAAGTAACCGATACGTAGAAAATAAAGTTAAGAGATGAGACACTTTTAGAAGTAGGAAGGTATTCATATTTATTTTTTACATGAAGTCATCTGAATCATAGCCATCTTCATTTGTCCTCATTTTACTCTCAACAAACAAACGATCGTATGATCTTTTTTCTGCTTCTGCTGCACGGACTTTCTGTGCCTCAAGTTCTGACTTTTTCTTAGCAGCCAGAACAGCTTTTTCTTTGTTTTTAATGCGGATATCTCGCTTCTCTCGTTCACCTCTTAAATCAGGATGTTGGCATTGCTCTTTTGTTTTATTTAGTCGTTTTATAACATCTCCATTGCGTTTTTCAACTACGATCTTTTGCACTGCTTTATTATTGTGAAAGGCTACTTGGCCAACATCCATATCATTGGTTTTTTTCAGGTTCTCCCACTTGGTATATACAACAGTGACATCGTTAAGTTTGCAACCCTATAAAAGTACATGTTTAGAAGTTGTAATATAGAGAGAAAGTAGTCATTAAAAAGAAAAACCACGCTTATAATACTTCAAAATGTCGATATGCCCGTCTTAATGAGCTAAAAATGCAAACTCGGGACTTTTTTCGCCAGTATACACACTATAAAGGTCTATGAGGAATAAAGAGTTGAATCACTATCACATTTAGGTGGAGTATTTTAAATGGTTTATCTATAATATGGCAAAACTACATCTTTCCAAATCATGTTCATCCACTTTACAGTAAGCGGTCTGAGGAAGGATAATTCGAAGAGAACCACAGAAAAAAGAAACATTCCTAACTTTCTTGTAGGAAGTTAAATAAACCTAGCAAACTGTAAATGACTTTTCAAAATAATGTTTGAAACCGACCTAAACTTATTGCAAATACAAGTGCACACGAAATGTACACCGCTATATAGTGATTTTAACTTCATATAAGGGTTGCGTTCAAGGTGGGAGCAGGCACATATATGCATCAGTACAAGTTGCCATACCTCATTAGCACAACAAGGTGAACACCAAATTCATAGAAGTAATTACTTCAATGGTAGTAATGTATAAAAGAAAGATTGTGTATAAGGATATAATACAGGAAAAAAGAAAGGTATGAAGTAATTTTAATCTCACGGTTTAAGGGAAGACAAAGAGTATATACACCGCCATTGTGATCGATTCTGAGCCAATGCGTGTCGTGGTAATCGGTGTTTAGGTATATGTAACACGTGGCCCAGGCATCTTAGCCTATGAGGATTCACAACCTCATCAACTGATTTACCATCATTGCTTAATAACTTGCGTCTAACCTTAATATTACTTACCCGGTGAACCCAGCAGATGCCAGCAATATTTCTAAGACATCTGTGATCAAATACTAGTAGATTACGAGTATCCTCTACTCTTAATGACCACAATTCGCAGCCATAAAGTAGAACAAAACGAACTGCCGCACAGTATACTCGTCCCTTAATTGATAGACGGATATCTCGCCTTCGCCATAGGTGACGTAAGTTGGCAAAAGCCAAACGAGCCTTTCGAATCCACGCAGAGATTTCATCAGACACCAACCCATCA